GCCCCCAGGGTCTGCTCGGGAAGTGTCCGGGGCGCGGGGCTAGGCGGCGTCCCGCACGATCACGATCACCATGTGCTCCTCCTCCAGCTTGCCCAGCGTCCGCAGGGCCGCCTGCAGGTACTGCTGCGAGAAGTCGCAGGGCGGGAAGGCGTAGAGCATGCCCGAGCTGTCCCGGCCCTTGGGGCCGCCCACCGGCAGGCTGATGACGCCGGCCGCCTGCTTCTGCTTCAAGTAGGAGACGAGGTTGCGCAGCAGGCGGCGCTGCAGGCCGGGCTCCGCGGCGGGCGCGCCGGGCTCGGCCGCCTGCGCCTGCGCCTGCGTGGCCAGCAGCACCGCGTAGCCGTGCGGGCTGCCCTGCCGGATGCGGCGCGTCACCTCGTCCAGCTTGGGCTGGTCCAGCCGCAGGCGCTGCGCGATCTTGAGCTGCGTGAGCTTGCCGCCGGACGCGTGGTCGCGGAGCAGCGCGCCCAGCACGGCGGGGTCGCCCTCCAGCACGTGCATGCAGGTGGGGAAGCAGCTGTTCTTGAGCACCAGCAGCCCGCGCCAGCCCAGCGGCAGCGTCTGCGCGAACTCGCCCAGCGTGGCTGGCCTGCGCGCCTCGCGCCGCGGCTCCTCGGCCGCCCGCGCCTCGGCGGCCTCCGCGGTCCGGTGGTTGCGCTCGGCCTCGCGCGCCTTCTTGGCGTCCGGGGCGGCGGCGGCGGCCGCGTCGCCGTGGTGGTGGTGGCCGCCGCGCTCCTCGGCCGCGTGCCGGCGGTTGCTCAGCGCGGCGCCGCCGCCGCCCGCGCCGTCCTTGGCGGCGTCGCCCGCGTGGTTCTCCCTGCGGCCGCGCTCGGGGCTGCGCTCGGCGCGCTCGGGCGGGCCCCCGCCCTTGGTCCGGCCGCGCTCCTCGTAGGGGGAGTGGGCGGCCCGCGCGCGCTCGCCCGACAGGCTGCGGCGCTTGCGCCGCTCCTCCCAGGGCTTGGGCGGCGCGCGCTCCCCGTCGGCGCCCCAGCGCTCCCCGCTGCGGCTGCGCGCCGAGCGCCCGTAGCCCTCCAGGCCGGTCCTGCGGTCCGAGCCCTTGCCCGGGCCCGGCCAGTCGCCCTCCAGGAAGGTCCGGTCCCGGTCCGAGTAGAGCAGGTGCGGCGGGGTCCGGTCGCGCACGCGCAGGTCGGCGTCGAGGCCGCGGTGGCGCGCGTAGCCGTCGGCCAGCAGCTCGTAGTGCACGGGCAGCGGCGCGGGCGCGTACTGCGGCGGGTAGCGCGTCTCCTCCGCCTTGGCGAAGTCCACGCGCAGCCGGCGGTCGGGCCCGCCGAGCGGGAAGCCCCGCATCTTGGCGCAGGCCGCCTGGGCCGCGTCCAGGCTCTCGTACTGGATGTAGGCGAAGCTGTCGCCCTTGACGTGGTCGATGGTGCGGATGCTGCCGAAGCGGTCGAACTCGCGGGCCAGCGCGGCCAGGGAGGTGTTGGGCCCCAGGCCGCCCACCCAGAGGCGGGTGGTGGGGTTGGCCTTGCCGTAGCCGATCTTGATGGGGTTCCTGCCGATCACCCGGCCGGACATGGCCACCTTGGCCCGGTGGGCCATGTCCAGGTTCTGGAACTTGAGGAAGGCGTAGGCGCCGCCCTGGCCGCGCGCCGGCCTCTTGATCACCACCTCCTCGATGATGCCGTACTTCTCGAAGGCGCGCCGCAGCTCCACCTCCGACACGCTGTGGTCCAGGTTCCCGATGAAGAGGTTGCGCGTGGCGCGCTGGTCGTCCTCGGGCATCAGGTCCTCCTCGCACACGGCCGGGTAGCCGTAGGGGCGGCCGCGCTCGTCGTAGAGGCCGTAGTAGTCGAGGGCGCGCTCGCGGGACAGGCCGGCGGCGGCGGCGGCGGCCGCGGCGTCCAGGGCGAAGGCGGCGGCGGCGGCGGCGGCTGCGTGGCGCGCGTGAGGCTCGCGCTGGTGTGGCTCATTCACCTTCGACAGCGAGTGCTGCTTGTAGGCTTGCCTTCGCCAGCCGCCGTGCATCGGAGGTAGCCCACCGGGTCGCCGGGCGCGGGCGGACCCAGGTGGGGGCGGGGAAGTGGGGTATGCCTGTTTTACCTCATCCCTGCATGTCTCTGTCGCAGATACCTATT